GGAAGGTTGCTGAAAGCGCGCCAGTTTTATATAGTTAAGCATGTGTATCATTGGCAGCACACATTTTAGAGAGTGAGAGAGAGAACCCTGCGTGTGAGAGAGAGAGAAGGAGTCGTACACAGTATATAGTCGAAGAAATGCCTTGTTTTACAAAACCACTGCACGGAGAGAGTGATACAGAGGAAAGAGAGGGTGGAGAAATGAATAGTTAAGATGCCTTGTTTTACTGAAACCCTGCAGGGTAGGGATGGACAGAGGAGAGACAGTATAGAGTTAAGATGCCTTGTTTTACTGAAAGAGGAAGGAGCTGTACACAGTATATAGTTAGGAGATGCCTTGTTTTGCCTGAAACCCGAGAGTAGGAGTTGTGCGTGGAGTAGACAGTATATAGTTAAGATGCCTTGTTTTACTGAAACCCTGCGTGGAGTTGTACACAGTATATAGTTAAGATGCCTTGTTTTACTGAAACCCTGCGTGGAGTTGTACACAGTATATAGTTAAGATGCCTTGTTTTACTGAAACCCTGCGTGGAGTTGTACACAGTATATAGTTAAGATGCCTTGTTTTACTGAAACCCTGCGTGGAGTTGTACACAGTATATAGTTAAGATGCCTTGTTTTACTGAAACCCTGCATGGAGTTGTACACAGTATATAGTTAAGATGCCTTGTTTTACTGAAACCCTGCGTGGAGTTGTACACAGTATATAGTTAAGATGCCTTGTTTTACTGAAACCCTGCGTGGAGTTGTACACAGTATATAGTTAAGATGCCTTGTTTTACTGAAACCCTGTTAAGTTACCCAGTTACTACTTTTGCTCATGATGTTGTTGTGATTAAGTACCCGATGATACGCTATTTGGAGTGCATATACTAGCACATATCAGAGAAACAACATAGGCTCCAGAAATGTTGTACTCACTGTGTTTGTAAGGGAAATGTATTGCGAGTATTGTAGAATATCGATTCTCAAAGTGCTACGTGTTCATTTCTTTCTTAACATGTGGCATCATAAGTCATAACCTGTAACACACTTATGTCACATATATCGATAGGAACCACCAAACAGTCGCTTCATATTCAATAAGTTCTTTATATAGTTACGTCCTTTTTCACTTCAGTTATTTTTCTGGTCTTATCATGTCAATATTGTTCCTGCACGGCCTTCCCAGAGGACGTTAGTTTGGTCAATTTGGCACAAGTAAACATACCTGTTCAAACAATAACACACATGGCTTCTTTCTTCAGCATGTTCTTTTAGGTACATGATCTAGGTGACTTTGTAGTCTTTGTTCAGTTTTTGCCTGAATGATCACGCAGGCTCACGTCACTGAACATTTAAAGCATGTCGTTTGTAGATTTCAGTATAGCATTGTATAGTCATGGGCGATGATTGTGATTGTTATTGACAAGAGTGAGTGAGTTTAGTTTTACGCCGCACTCAGCAATATTCCAGCTATATGGCAGCGGTCTGTAAATAATCGAGTCTGGACCAGACAATCCAGTGTTCAACAGCATGAGCATCGATCTACGCAATTGGCATATGTTGAGATGTGTCAGCGAGCCTGACCACCCAATCCCGTGGGTTACTGAATATCAATTCTAACCCGGATCTTCACGAGTCATTATTGACAAGTAGGTATGTTATGTACATACAATATATCAGAAGGTATGTCCTATAATACATGATACATGTCTGTATTTGTATATGTTTAATGATGAAACCATGTCCCATGGCATCTGTTATAGTTAATAGAGATATAGTATAGATGGCCTTATGCTGTCAGAAATCAGCGGGGAACTGCAATAGTAATGAGCCGATCCTCTCAAACGACGTGAAGAGAATGCGATGCATTCTAATGTTTCTAGACGCTTCTTCCTTTCTCTGTCATAACATATGGCGTCTTGATTTCGCCATTTGTAAATCAGTGACACGCGTTGTGAGGTTTTTATATAGCCTCTCAACATATGCTGCTGTTTGTTGGGATGAACTCCCAATTGTAAGCATCCATTTAGTTATATCAAGATGATCTTGTGATGTAGGTGTATTGTCATTTGCAGAAGTCGGTTCAACAGTTACTGACGAACGTTCTGGAGCTGACAATACCTTGACAAATAAGAAATCATGATAAGAATGGCAGAAGATTCAAACTTGACTATTAGAGCAACATGTATCCTTAAATAACATTTTGAAACATTCAATCAAAATGAGAAAAATATATAATATAACGATTACAGATATATACTTTGACGGTTAGACCTAAATAATGCATTATATAAAAGTCGGACTTCCATGATACATGATCTGAAGTTAGGAGTGATACTATATGTGACTTAACAGTCAAGTTGTGGTGATCTGTTTGACCTGATTGTCAGGTCTTGGTGACATACCTTCCAACTTCCGACTTTGATGATAAATAATCAGGGTCAGGTCAAGGCTCGGTGACATTTGACCTGATTGTCAGGTTTTGGTGACATATCTTCCAACTTCTGACTTTGATGACATAACCAGGGTCAATAATTAAAACCCAAAAGAACAAAAAAAAACTAAAATTCGAGACATGAAATTCAACATTAAGTTTACAACGGAGAAAGTTTAGTTACTCTTCACATTGAATTCCAACTGATAATTGTTTGCACATTCCTGCGGTGGAGGTCGATGTTCACATTATCGACCCTCAGTTTGAAAGGTCTGAGCCTCGCGCTTTTACCACCCGTCATGACAGAGCTGGTACACATCAGAGGACGACGTAAAAATCAATCCACACACACGTTTTACTTTAACAAACTAAGTGTACCCCATTACAGCACAATGGAGTATCTACATAACCTCACTGCTGGTGCGAGGGGCGTATATCAGCGTTGTTTATGTCGACTGAGGAATCCGTATGATAAGGTATTGATTTTAACCATTTCCAATTGACAGTGCCGGGCGATATCTGATGGTGCTTGATGAACTTCCAGAACTGTTTGTGGCACTAACAGCAGCCCAATACCGTCGGATGCAGCCTGGCGTTAACGCTCCCACTAAATCCGATGCAGAGGCGCAATGAATTTGCTTTACTTAAGTCAATCTTGTCACTGGTTGTCCGCGCAGCCATCTTTATGTTATCCTTCCGAGTACTTTGATCACGTTTTCGAGTTAAGTTAGTCCTGATTATCAGATTAGGGGAACATATAGGTGGCCGTTGTTGTTCAGAAGCTCCACGTCTCAGAGTTATCAGCAACACGTTTGTCGGTTTACTTGATATAAGAACTTTATAAGTATTTCTTACTTGTGCATTCGTTTACATTTGCGAGTTGATCGAGAACAAAGACGGTGGGACTCTTGAATATGTATTTGCTAATCTAATTGTTGCGATGAAATTCCATCACCGAATATAAACTACATAAACTATAGACAATATAAACCAGATTTGTTTTGACTTAATGAGTTAAACAGAAAAAGTTAATATTACAGGGACATATTTGATACTGGTATCAAAGCGCCATCTCGGACCTTAAGTTTTTAGTGTTTTGGCGACTAATTCTTGTTTGCTTGTTTGTTTGTTGTTAAACGCCGCACTCAGCAATATTCCAGCTGTATGACGGTGGACTGTAAATAATCGAGTCTGGACCAGACAATCCAGTGATCAACATCATGAGCGTCGATCTACGTAATTGGGATACGATGGATTGTGTCAATCGATCTGTGGCTGACTTCAGCCTAGTAACAACTAACATTTGTAAGTTTTGCTTAAATCCAATTCCGAGTTTATGCTGAAATGTTTACCTTATTACCGCCAATGATTCGGTGCCTACGTCAAATCTGTCATAACTACCTGATAGAATCGAATTCGGACTATGGAACCGGTGACTGAAAGCATGAACACCGAATGGCGACGTCGGGTTACGATGACACCTAGTCACCTGTCACAGAACCTGTTTTAGTTCATCTTACATGCAAGAGTTACTGCGGACCGACTCAGACCCGGAGTCTATAGTTAAAGCTAAACAATGTATAAAAAAGAAAACGAGAATGCAATGTTTAGCTTATTTCCTTCGAGCTTGATACAATCTATGAATGTTATACAAGCAACAATGAACAAGAAAATAATTAGAAAATCGGTATCACACGGGGTTGCCGTTATATGACGCAGTGGTAGTATCGTTGGTTTCATATTGGTAGACTGTTTTTATCTAAAGAAATCGACAGCTGTACTCATGTTTTTAAAGTAACGAGTTTTTAAAGAAACTCAAAACAATAGTAAAAGAAGCTGAGCGCGCATGACAGTTAAGATTAATTATCGTGTTCTCACACAAGGAATACGTTCGACATTACACACAACTTGAAATATTTCACCAGCACAGTGCAAGTTAGAATTGTGTCTCTTCTTATACTCACCAGATTAAATAATCACATTATTTTGAATTAAAGAATCGATTTTAAGTCCACATGAAGTTAAGGTCCAAATGACCTTTAAATAACGCACTGTAGTGATCGAGTGAGTGAGTGATTTGAACATTATTCCTTTTTGAGTATTATTGCTTACAGAGACAATTCTGCATATATTGTTACAAACACCATATAATCCCAAATACTAAATATTATGATTCTTGATACCACGTATATGTGAATACGAGGAACTTGGAAACTGACCAAATATTACTCTAGTTATAAGACGCTCTAAAATACTTAAACAACAGCGACGCGTTTTGCTCATTTCAGAGTTAAATTAAATTCAAAAGTAGTTGACAAGGCAAGTTAGTAAGATTAATCTAAGTTAGCGTGTCTATCCATCACAAGCTGCAGCTGCAGACGCTGATGATGACGTCTTTTCTTCCGACAGCGCAACAGGTGGTTTAACTGTTGCACGCAGTATTTGTGCAGAACCACTGACATGTACACAAACGTAATTAGTGCGAACCTATTGACTGTGAACTAACGTGATTACTATTGACTGTTCTGCCACCGTTGGCTAAGACTATTTAGCCACGGAGTCTGATTGCCTTAAACACTGACCTGTCGCAACGATGCTTGTGACGCTGACGCCGACGACAATGATGATGCAAGTTAATCTCAACATGGTTGGTAGAGTTTAAGGCACTCCAAAGTCCTAATCACTTGAACATTCTGGTAGGAATACTTCCCAGTGAACACTAGTGTCATAACTTGGAGAAGATCACTCTCCCGGTCTTCTTCGACTGTTCTGACTGCCTGCTTAGAAGGGCAATCCTGTATTGTAGTTGATCCACCCCTAGAACAGACTTTAACGGTTGATCATTGGCGAAGCGGTTCCATCGACCAATGGACGGCTACGCTGAGGCAGCAAGCCTAACAAACAGCCAATGAGTTGTGAGAGCGATCAGAAGAACACTTACCCCCACCGAGTATCGCCTTGAGAAATAGCGATTAGATCAAATCTTGGAATCACAAACACAGTAATAATTGATAGAGCAAGTGCTTCGCTGTGCTGGAGCTCCGGCCACGATGAGATATCGCTGATCCAATGGTCTGCTGTATCGATCAACGGTACATTGAAGATTTGGCCAATCTTTACTCTCATTTCGGGGATTCTGGGGTTCAAAAACTGATTCGGAAGTTAAGGGTGGTCTTGACCCTGCTCATGGCACGACAAAATGGTCAATATTCCGATCAATGTTTTATGATAAATATGTTTAGATGGGAGGTACTTTCATGGGAGTGATTCTTGCTATAACTCGAGTTGTGTACTGCTCCTAAAATGTATTTGAGAACGATGGAACCAAAGTTATTTTCATTTATTATACAAAAGTTACCGTACGCGGGATCTGTACAAACCAATCGATGCTTCATGTAACTAACGTACTTCATATGTGTTTCAAGGTCTATCGATGTTGTGCGCCTTGTAATGGGAATTGGGTGTAACATGCTTTTTTAATCCAGCGCAGATACAAAACACAGCTGGACTTCCAATCCCATGACTGTTTCCGCCACCAAATAACAATAACTCATTTTTCAGATCAGGAGTACACTTTATGTTCATTTTCCCATAAAATGAACGGCAGTCCATCAATTGTTGGTGTATCGAACGCGCAGTAAGGTACCAGTCGTGAAGAGATCTGGACCTGATCTACATCGATTAGAGAGGATTATCACTAGCGCTATCTAAATGTGTCTTTTTCTCATCACTTAGTCTGATTCAAATAATTACGAGATGTCTGAATGCATTCACGTGTAGCAGGGGGCGTCTCAACGTCCTTGCAGGTGACAAGGGATCGTCTCGAGAGCTTCATACAGACAATTCGTGACAGTCAGTTCCGGTTGTGTGAGAGGAATTGCAGCGTCATGAACGACCACTTCTACGGTCATGGGAGTTGATGCCATCTGCGGAGGCCTCATCTTGTCGTGTTCACAGACAGGTCCTGGCCACAACTGGACATGTGCAAAGCAGTGGAAAACTGCCTGGATTTGCTCTGTGGACAGATCTGTATGTGAAATGCGTGCTACCATGAGGGCGAGCTGACATTCAAGAATATTCCTGAGTGTCACAAAACAGTGTGACATATTGATTGGATGTGTGTTGGTTGTTTAACGGATCAACCTGCTATGTCCCTGTTGTATGGCAATTTGTTTGTTTAATGAAGTACGGGTTAGGCACTGCAGTGGTTGATATGAGCAATGTGCTTCTCAGTCGGGGAGCATTGAGAGTGAGTGAGTGAGTGAGTGAGTGAGTGAGTGAGTGAGTGAGTGAGTGAGTGAGTGAGTGAGTGAGTGAGTGAGTGAGTGAGTGAGTGAGTGAGTGAGTGAGTGAGTGAGTGAGTGAGCGAGCGAGTGTGGCTAAATCAACTTTCATCAATGTGGTTTGTTAGAAGCACATAACTAGTGATTTATGTAATCAACTATTACTTTAAGAATGTAGACCATCAGTATAAAATGTGTGCGTGAGTGAATGAATGACTAAGTGAGTGATCAGTGGGGTGAGCGGGCGAGTGGTAAAAGCGAGTGAGTGAGTGTGTTTGTTGAGCGATTTTTATTTATTGACGACGTTTATAATCAACAAGTCGTTGCGTTTAACTCCGGTAATAGCCTTTCACGACCGGTGACACAAAAACACACTTCACACAGTGTTGGATAAGGAACCCAGGTGGCCTGCATGAGAACCCAGTCCTGACCTGACTAATCGACCATTCCACAGCAACAAGACATTGACAGATACAGAGAACACGCTGTTTCCCGTGAAAAATGAAATTATATAGTTTTTACAGTTAGCTAAAACCAACCTTACCACACGGAATCACCACATAAAAATACATCATTTTGGTAATCGTATTATTATTATTTGATTTACGCTTATGTTTTTTATTGTTTCGTTAGTTGTTTGTTAACCAAAATGGAAAGACAAAACAAAAAGCATCCTCACATCGTCACCTCCTCTTTAAAGTTTGGACGACAAGGGTGAAATGATGAAATTAAATGAAAAAAACGTGCTTCTGAGAGTGGTTAATTGAATGACAAAGAAACGGTTACAAGATTCCCACATCAATATTTTTTCGTTTTTATTAACTTTCAATTTTTGAGAGACTTGGCGGCAAAAAGACAATTGTTTTTTAAGCTATTTTTTTTATGCCCATTTAAAAAAATTATGGACGTTGAATCATAAAATCAGTTTATACAGAATGTCAAGTATATCAAATAATGTGTGAGTTCAGTTAGACAACACGTTGACCACGGTTCCACCAAGATTGTAAGAAACGGAATTGGAAAAACCATGTACTGGCGTTGGGTACCGAAATTTAGAACAATTTATCCACTTGGCCTATATACCGCTCAAATATTTTAGAAATGATTTTTTTTTCAGGAAATCTAACAGATTTAAGCAAAGCAAAACTTTTCCCCTATAGGAATCAATCGAGCAGTAATCAAGTCTGAAAGGTCTAACTAATGTGTGGCCTTGATACGTCACCTTGGAATTCAATCACTACTGTAATAACTACCGTTGGGAACTTACGCTAAAATGAACCATAATGTAGATAGATATACAACGTCACTGCCAGAGAATAACCAGGGTCGATTATCCACCAAAACAGATCCCACTGGGTGTATAAACTTAAATAGGGGTGAAAATTATTGGGATAGATCACGGGGAATCTTTGATGACACCATGTCCCACCCACTAAGCCTCGTTCTGGAGTAAAGCAGCGCATGGGCAATAACTACATTTAATCTGACGGCTAATTACTAGTAGTGATGGGGTTTGTGTAAAGAGGGTAGACAAACTGGTCTGTAATTACGTTATAGCCACCGACTGCTAGCGCTGTGTAGTTACACTAAAGTACTTTAGTTAGTGTTCAGGAATCACCATGTGTAGAGACAAAGCGAACCCTTGATAGCGCAGTGCGAGGAGTTGTTTCGGCTGACGCCTCTTACGACAGTATTTCAGTTACACCACGGTCTGTCTGATGGGTGATGGGTAGGTAGGCGGTGGCAGCAACGGCATATAGTAGTAGCAGTGGCACCACGGCCTGTCTGATGGGTGATGGGTAGGTAGGCGGTGGCAGCAACGGCATGTAGTAGTAGCAGTGGCACCACGGCCTGTCTGATGGGTGATGGGTAGGTAGGCGGTGGCAGCAACGGCATGTAGTAGTAGCAGTGGCACCACGGCCTGTCTGATGGGTGATGGGTAGGTAGTCGGTGGCAGCAACGGCATGTAGTAGTAGCAGTGGCACCACGGCCTGTCTGATGGGTGATGGGTAGGTAGGCGGTGGCAGCAACGGCATGTAGTAGTAGCAGTGGCACCACGGCCTGTCTGATGGGTGATGGGTAGGTAGGCGGTGGCAGCAACGGCATGTAGTAGTAGCAGTGGCACCACGGCCTGTCTGATGGGTGATGGGTAGGTAGTCGGTGGCAGCAACGGCATGTAGTAGTGGCAGTGGCACCACGGCCTGTCTGATGGGTGATGGGTAGGTAGGCGGTGGCAGCAACGGCATGTAGTAGTAGCAGTGGCACCACGGCCTGTCTGATGGGTGATGGGTAGGTAGGCGGTGGCAGCAACGGCATGTAGCAGTGGCGATGGCAGTGGCACTGGCACTGGCGTTGGTGGTGGCGATGGCAAAGAGATACAGCCTTGAAAAGTTGGAGAATCAAATAACATGATGATGATGCTGTTGTTGTTGAACAAAGGATCATAACTAGGAGATGTGAGATTATAGTTTGTGATATTTCAACACTCCTTGAAAACGGAATGGTCGTCCCCAAGGACTTTGACACACTATAGGCGGACAGTGCCGTCCGTCTACAAACATTCTGTGATGGAGTGACAGTCGTTGTTATATTAGTGTTGGGATAGTAGAGACGTTGAGTGGTTGTTGTGGTGGTGTCATTTGTAGGGTTAGTGGTGGTGGTGGTGGTGTAGTAGTAGCAGTAATGAGAAGTACTAGTAGTAGTGGTAGTAGTAGTAGTGGTGGTGGTGGTGGCGGCAACAGCTGCAGCAGTAGTAGTAGTAGCAGTAGTTGAAGTACATGTAGTGGTAGTAGAAGTAGTAGCAACATCTTCAGCAGCATCAACAGCAGTAGCCAGATTGACCACATCAAGATTCATGTAAATAATGAACACCGTCAGGGCACGCTGACACGTCAGATCAAACATTGCACTAATACGATTATCCCAAGTCGGCTCCAGTACGTTGACCTTCTCTCCCACTGAACAGCAAGCAACGGCATGTACCATCTTAGTAGTAGCAGTAGTAGTAGTAGTAGTAGTAGTAGTAGTAGTAGTAGTAGTAGTAGTGGTGGTAGTAGTAGTAGTAGTAGTAGTAGTAGTAGTAGTAGTAGTAGCAGCAGCAGCAGTAGTAGTAGTAGTAGTAGTAGTAGTAGTAGTAGTAGTAGTAGTAGTAGTAGTAGTAGTGGTGGTGGTGGTGGTAGTAGTAGTAGTTGTAGTAGTAGTGGTAGTAGCAGCAGCAGCAACAGCAGCAGTAGCAGTGGTATCATTAGAAGCCGTTGTAGTGGCAGTACGGTTACACTATATACGGCAGCAACGGTTGTAATAATACCGTGTTAGGGTAACAGTATTCGTAGGGAGGCTATGTTTTATGATATCTCGTGGACATCTTAAAAGAAATGTGCGTGTCACTAACGCGATTGATTAATTCGTATTAACATATTTCGCGTATAGTAAAATCCCCTTTATCAGTACTGTAGCATTCCCAGTGAAAGCAACTTGTTTGCAAAAACATATTACGGTT